TAATAACATTGAAGAAAACTTTAAGGTGATTTTTTATTGTGCTTTCTAATAGATTTAAATAAAAATAAAAATAAAAATTAGTTGTTAAAACCTTCACAAGTACGTAGAATTTTTTCAGATTTTGTGTAATCCAGAGCAATAAAAAAAATGCACTAAAATTTAAAGATTGCAGATGAAAGGTAAAAAATTTCACATTGCCGACGTAGAGTTAAAAATTTTTTAGAGTGAATTAATTAATCTTTAAAGGGTGGAGTTCAATTTTTTAAATTTTACTACAACTTCTTTTATGAGATGAGATTTGTTATAATTCGTTATTTTATTGTATTTCTTGCAAAATATGATACTATTTCAGCATCATTATAGTGGTTTTCCATGTAAAAATTAATAATTCGATTTTCTCGTGTCATTTATATTATATATTAAAGTGCCATTCTCGACATTAAAACCGCTAAAACTTTAACGGTAAATTGGAAGAATATTTCATATATATCGCAATTCTTTTTCCTTACCGGCCTGCATCGAGAAGATTGGCATGAATTATTTGATTTTCAGCTTCCGGCTTCGCGCTCGCTTTGAAACCCAGCGGCGTTTCGTTACGCAAAGTGTCGATGTTATAACGTGCCTCTTCGCGTCGTGATCTCTAATCTTTTCTCCACGATCCCTCTGCTCCCTTCTGCAATCACGACTCGCAATTGCGAGAATAGGGAAACGCGCGATTTGCTGGGAATATCATTCGAGTATTGACGCTCTACGCGTCGCTAGAGATGAGATATCCGTGGTAATCTATTAAAAGTCCATCTTTTTCCCCCCAGCTTCTCTAATCTCGTGGAATTCCAGCCTCCCCTAGATTAACCGTACCGTTAACCTTTGAACGACGGTTAATCCTGATCGAATAGGAAGATGATCCTTTCCTCAGTTGCACCGTAAATGCCCCCCCCGGTTACGAATTAACGCAATCGTGAGGACCTATACCGTTCCTGAAATCACCACCTGCAACGAGGAAATTACCACATTGCTCAGTAGTCGACATCCTGTCCGCTTTATAGCTACATTAGACCGTTCTCTCGCAGTCTGGATTAGACTCGGGCGCTTCTCTCGAGACGAATGATAGCGTTGGACGTTTGTCTTGTGTTAGCATGGCGAATAAGCGAAAGATGGAGGTACACTTATCGAATCTCGCTATTACAGAGGATACTTTCCACTGGTCATACTTACACAGCCGTCGCGCTCAGCTGTATCGAGCCGCGCCATAATAAAACGAAAGAATTGAAACTGAGATAATTGAGCTTCCTCGAGGCTTTAGTTATTATAATTTCGCATTCCTAGTCGCTAACATGAGGAAGAGATTGTACGCGGAAAAATGTCATGAGAATTTATTTTGGATCGCAGGTTGATTGACACCAGTGTAAATGAGCGATTTTATGCAAACGCGCCAGTTGGATAACTCTTCTTCATACTGTTGTAAAAAAAACGAGTCAATATTGTCATTCAGAACAGAAGTGTATTTCCGCTACTATTCGCCCCGGGTACAATAGCGATACTTCCAACTCTTCGTTCATAAATATTCACCCTACGAAGGAAACTTCCAGGAGAGACGTTCCATAAACCATGTCGACATTTCTTCAAGACAATTGAAAAGGAACAGCTGCCTTTGTACTAAATTTCTGGTTTAACCCTAATTGATCACTAGGGGTCACTGTGACCTCACCAAAAATTTGGATTAAATTTTCACTAACTTAAATTTTGAAATAACGCCTGACACTCTATTTACCAGTAGTTTGAGTCTCTAACTACATTATCATGCGGTTGGCATGGCGTAAAACACGTTAGATTATTTTTTTTTAAATCATTCCAATTAATCTTCAAAATAAATACCTTTTTTGAAACGCCTGCTATTGCAATAATTTTTTTATTGAAATGCAGCATCTGAAGACTTTATCCTTAAAATTTTACGCAAAAATATTAAAAAATAAAAGAGTTATGACTTTTTAATGAAAAAAGTCACTTTTCACTAGACTTTCATTCATGAATTTTTTGACTATTTTAAAAGATATTAATTTAGCAAAAAATGCGAATACATATTTTAAAGTTTAAAGAATGTCTCTAATTTTTGTTAATATCTATACTTATGAAAATTAAGCTACAGCAGCCATTTAAATGTGCTGGGGTCATGTTGATCCTGTGTGATCATTAAGTAATTTTCACGTAGTGTGATCGAGGATTAATAAAAACTTTGTATGCTCTAATGTTGTTTTATCCATTTTTCCCAATGCAAATTATCAATTTAATAATGAAATGAAACAACAGTTAATTAAAGGGGATTGAAGAAAAAAATGTTGTGTTTTATTATAGGATCTTCACCCAGCCGTCTGGCGACAAACAGAACAACCGAAAGTGCCGACGACAGGATCGCCCCTGTTCCAGAATCTCCTAAACAAAAGGTACACATGATTATGATTACAACACGATCAATCAATCGATCGTTCGCTCGATCGAAGCAGACACGCTTTTTCTGTATCTTTCTTTGCCCGACTTCCTTTAATGAACATTATTTTGTAATTTTATATACATAGTAGTTTCATAACAATTACGAATTTGGACCGATGATAATAAATCCAATTAAATAAGAGAAATTTTATATTCAGTCAAAGCGGATCTTAGTGCTTCAATATTTCTGTGCGAATTTGTACATTTGATTCTGCAAACAATGCGCCAAAGTCTTTTTCGGTCTTGAAATGCAAACGAGCAGAACCAGAGTAATAATTAATAATATCACTTATTAAATTGACAGTAATTTAATAATGTTTTGATACTAATAAGCATCTTCATAAGAATATTAACATTTAATTTAATGTTAATGAGAATTTTAAACCTATAATAATAATTTATACGAATAATTTATTGCAATAATATTTTCTTAACCGAGATTCAAAATCTCCCATATTTTATGCGGGCGTCCTTATTATTCGATTACCGAGGTACAGGATTATTTGCAGAATCAGATATGTATATAAATTTACACAAATATTTAAGCACTAAAATCCACTTGAACCAAATTAGAGAATTTCTCTTATTTAAGTAGTTTCATAAGTTTCGCTTGGAAGTTTCGCTCCTCTCAAGCTTTTTCAGAGCGGAGAACTGTCGTGCTGTAACACGTTGAGTGATATTCCTCATTAATTTACGCAATTGCGAATCACCTTTATATGAAAGCATTTTCCATACGTACTTACGCAACTATTCTTGCAAATCGTTTTATCCTGTTGCGTTTATCTTACAAACGAATGTGTGATATCGTGAATTAATAGTGATCAGACTTTGTGAGTCACATGTTTACAGCTTCAACGTCATTCAACATGTTAATCGATTATTTTCTCTCTTCTTCTCCTTTTTTTAATTTTTTTTCTCCTCTCTCTCTAATGACGTGTATTCGTTTCGAGACCAGTCGACCTATTTTGCTGTTCATTTTCAGACGCGTTGTTCCGAAAGAATCGAATTCGAATTTTCCCCGTTGCTAGATCGCTGCTAAAAATCTTGAGGAAAATCTTCGATCGATGAATCGCCTGTTCATGCACGGTTTACCTTGACACCGGCGTCATCCCGCGTTGCAACAAGCCAACAACAAATGCCATCGTCGTTGCGTTTGCGTAATCACGCGCGCATTATCGACACATACGCGCGTCCCCCTTTTTTCATCCTTTATATATACTGAGTTATATATACTTTTTATATACTGAGTGATTCAGAAGGAAAGGTCAATATTCTGGGAAGTTATATATATATATATATATATATAAAAAAAAAATA